GTAGGTGTGAGGTGTCATGCTACAATATTGTGCTTGACATATGTGCACTGTTGCAAATAACTTGTAAGATTCACTAGAAAAAATTCTTGTAACGATTTGCACTTTTAGGTAAATTTAATTGCTACAAATTCATGTAATATTTACTCATCATTATCTAGTAAAAATGATCAAGAATATAAAGATTTGTGAATAAATCAGGTAAATTTTACTTAATTTGATCAAGTATATGTTACAAGATTTAATTGAGCAAATTGGGTAAAATTTACCTGATTTATTCACAAATCTTTAACTCTATTCTTAATAACTTTTACTAGATGCTGATGAGTAAATATTAAATGAATTTGTAGCATTTAAATTTACTTAACAAACGTTAGTGCAAATTGTAACGAGGATTTTTCAAGTACATCTTACAAGTTATTTTTTTTTCGGTGTACTGTCCAACGTAGACCAGTGGAACCTGATATGGTTCTCTGCACCAGATGGGTCTGAGAAACAGTTCCAGCTGATAAATAATGCATCATCTACCTGTATTACAGTGAATCGATGCCCGCTTGTCATAATGAATGTTTTAACGGATTTGAGTGACAGTTCTAGGGCACAGATGATTAACAACACCTTGACAGTCTGGTAATTTATTTATTTATTTATTCTGATGGTTTTAAAGTGCAGCTGAATCTGTGCAGTTATGTTTTGATGTTTTTTTTTTGTTTTTGTTTTTTTTTTGCCATCTCTGTATCAGTCTGCAAACACTGTGCAAACCTCACTTCTCTCTAACCATATTTCTTTCATCAAACCCGCTGGCCCTCATTTCTCTTTGTCATTTATGAATATTTAACTCCTGCCCCATGTACAGCCCCGAGCTTTGGCTCTTTGCCTCTCACTTATGAGCTGTCCAAGACACCAAGGGGCAGCCAGAAATACTCCGCCTCCAACACTGGAGTCACAACATCAGGAACTGTGCCAGAGTGGACGCAGGCACGCGCCTCACATTCTGTGCATTTACAGGGAGCACTTATCAGAATCAGCCATTAGTAAGAGCAACAAGTCACTCAACAAGCTGAAATTCCATCATGACAGGATAATGTGCAAGCACTCAGAGCCAGGAGCTGATAATAAAGTATTCCAATGACAGAGTGGTGCATCAGGGCAAATATGATGCAGGTTTTGATGTGTTTTACAGGGGATTCTGACGTTATCAGTCCCATTCAATGGCTTCAGATGGTCCCTACTGTGCCTTCTAGGCTTCAGACTGTCCGACAGTGCCCCCTAGTGGGTTAATATATCAATGACAATGAATGTGTAAATAACCAAAATATATTGTAATAATTTTTTTATGTCCATGTGGGTCTTGAACACTGGTCCCCCACTCTCTGAGASAACACTCTACCCATTGCCCTATTGGAAGCCACATTAAGTAGTTGTCGGAGGTTAGTGCTAACCATGTCATTTGCTCTAAGGTTAACCTTAGTGGGGGTTTTTTCATATTAACCTCATTTTTTATGCCTCATGCTAACCAAATAGTGGCTTTATGCTTCATACTAACCAGCTGACAATCAGAAGCCATTCTATGGGACGGGGAACCTGCTAAGCGGCACAGGCGGGACATTCTGAAGCCATTCTAGGGGACTGATAACCGCCTATTAATGTCCATTTCATGGATGATAACATCCGAAGCGGGTGCATTTTATAAGCGTATAGCTAGGATAACAAAAAATACATTTAAGTAAACATATAGGACCACACACACAGTGATGTAATTTGACATATATTTAGGTATGAAGTATGTACTGAATATAAAACTATTTATTCAGTCAACTATTTCTCAAGTTTGTCTGGATATGAATGCACTCATGTTGCACACTAAATATTAACCCCACTTCATTTTCTAAACATTTTAATTTGCACCTGATACACACCAAAGTACTTTAAAACTGATCCAAAAAAATGTGAAGTTGRGACAATGTCAAAACAGACTGATTTTTCCAGGTATTCTGATAAAATGATAACTCTTCCGGCAGATTAACACACAAGATTCAAGTGGAGGYGAAATTACAATTTTGTTTTAATAGGTTAGAAAAGAATGTTTGAAATATAAGAAAGCAGAAATGTAGGAGTGACATGTACATTCATCATAACTATGAAAAACAAAATGTGTTTTTCTGGCATAGTGCAATCAAAAATCCATCTTATACATTTAAACTGTAAACTGATCACATTTCGTTGTGAGTTAAAATATATTAAATATTTCTGTCACTTTGTAAGTGGAGCTCTGTTTAAAAAGAACAAAGCAGATATAAAAAGCTTTTTGAAGCAACTCAATTTGAAGAAACAGATTTTTCGACTCACAGGACTGACAACAGAAGCAAGTCTGAATGCAGCTAAGATCGTTGTCTTAAAGCAGTTACAGTATAAAAGTTTCATATTGATTCTCAGAACACTGATTTATTGAGATTTGACATTCACATCACCTGAGTATTTACATAAAATTCTATGGTTATTTAGAATAGAATAGAATAGAATAGAATAGAATAGAATAGAATAGAATAGAATAGAATAGAATAGAATAGAATAGAATAGAATAGAATAGAATAGAATAGAATAGAAACAGCCTTTATTGTCCCGCAGAGGGGAAATTCAGGTGTAACAGCAACAGCATCAGTTCACAAAAAACAAAAACAAAAAAATAAACTATATGCACCAATAGAAATAGTGGTAGTAGTATTAGAATAGAAATAACAACAAAATTTTAAAATAAGAATAAACAAAATACTGTGTATGGCAATAAAAATTAAATATGGTACTGTGCAGGTAAATTACAATGAGGTGTGCAGTTGAGTCAAATTACCGTATTTATTCATGTATAATACGACCCCCCTTTTTTGAGCTTAAAAAGCATGAAAAAATTTAATCCTCAAACTACGTCCCAAACTATGTCTCTGGAGCTATGAAAGGTCTGTGTGAAAACGAATGCCGAACAACCACGTGACTGCGCGTCGACTGGCTGCGTCGGAGCGAGTATGTTTCAGGCTTTAACGGTCGCACTCACAGCAGAATCTGAGCCGTTGTTTGACGATGCTACCAGCTCTTCGCTCTCTGGGCTCTGAAGGTAAGCTAGCTCCGGTGGTGGAGAAAAGTCCTGGCTAGCTGCGTCCTCCTCGTTGACGGAAGCTGACTTAAAATCGGCAACATTAACAGGAYAGAATAAWTWACCTATTATRGGTATARACTTTAAATTTTCTGCATTTCTGATGTCCTTCTCCTTCTTTAATTTACYTTTCGCGCTCCCACTTAGCTTCTCCATCTCTGAYTTWGAGTTTCGTAGCGACACTTGACGTCACGCGTCCCACTCAGTGTGCTTTGATGTGAGTCACCTGTCCTGACCCACCTCAAACTGACTGACTAATGAGGGAAGGGRCTCTTAACTCACGTTAACAGTCACAGGCAAGGCAGCATCATTCTGTGCAGCTCAAGGGTTCCAGTGGACAGTTTAACATAAAGCAGGAGATTAACAGATTTTTTGCTTGTTGTGTCCCGGGCCCTTTAGAGCTCGCAGGCCCTTGGGTTATGGTCCAGTTGCCCATGTGGTTAATCCGGCCTTGAGCAATAGCAGTGTTAGCAGTGTTAGCAGCATTAGCAGTGTTAGCAGTGTTAGCAGTGTTAGCAGCATTAGCAGTGTTAGCAGCGTTAGCATTGTTAGCAGTGTTAGCAGCATTAGCAGTGTTAGCAGCATTAGCATTTGTCAAAGGATGATGACGTCACAACAAAAGCCAAAAACCAACAGCAAAGGCTGTGTTCCTTCCAGAAATTCTTAAAGGAAACCAATTATGGGTCCTAGAAATGTTTATGGTATGTCTGTGGGCTATCCAGACCATGTTCATTCAATTTAATGCACAAAATAATTCTCAGATAATAAAATTTCCCATTTTCTAGTTCTGCCTGCTCTGACTTCTGCTCAGAAGAGCTGTTTATGTTAATGAGCTCTGTTGGTAACGCCCTCCAAAAATCTGTTGACATTAACTCCGCCCTCCAAAGCTAGCGTTTACGTTAACATGGCTAATAATGGCAGAAGCTCCGTTGTACAACCATATGAGACCCAGAGGCAGAGTCGTGGTCCCAGCTTCTTTTTTTTCTCTCCCTCCTATGCTCTGCGCTCACTCTGCATGCTGTTACCAGAGCAGGGAGCAGCAGCGGTCAAAATACCTCAGAAACTCGAACAAATAGGCTTTAAGAAGGCTTTAATAAGCTAAACAATAGAGGTACATGAGAAAATGTGTTCATAACGAATGAAAGTCCACGCTGGTCTCAAACCTGGTCTCCCAGTCTCTGGTCCAACACTCTACCCATTGCCCTATTGGAGGCTTGTTGTGAGATGAGCTACACATTACACAACAACACCGTGACGGGTTTTTATACTGAGGAGGAGCCTCACCTAGGGGTTGCTAGGTAAGGGGCTGAACGCAGGTTCTGGTGGGTTGTCGTACGGCTTGTGACATCACAAAATGATGGAAGTATAAAACTTGTC